TCTTAGGCATCTGAATTTTTTTTCTTTTTTTTTTTTTTTTTTTTTTTCCATTTTATGTATGTCTCACTACGCAGCTCCCCAGCACTGGGATTACAGGCGTGCACCACCACCCCCAGACTCAAGTCACTGGCTCAGCATGCCCCCAGAGCGGAGCTGGCGCAGCATGTGGAACTAGGGATCAAACCCTAGTCCTTGCACTTCCAAAGACCTCTATTATTTTTAAAATTTATTTTGTATTTATGTATTTGGTACAGGGTCTCACTATGCAGCTTGAACTCGTGATTCTGACTCAGACTCCCCAGCACTGGAATTACAGGCGTGAGTCACCACACCTAGTTTCAGGCCGGCACTGCACATCTGGGGTTCTAGGCCAGTACAGCATGCAATACTAGGAATCAAATCTGGGTCCTTGCACTTGCCAGGCAGGTGCTTAGACTCCCGAGCTATCTTCCCAGCCCCCTGACTCCTTCAATTTGTCCTCATACTCTCTTAACAATTTCAGATCTCCTGTATTTCTATTGTTAAATTCCTCAACTTGGAACACATCTAGGCCTCTGGTCACCTCATATGAGGAACATATAACTGCTGAGTTGTCCAATTTTCTTCTATCTCTTGTTCTACTGCCTGCAACTCCAAATAAAGGACCACGGGTAATACAAGCACAGGTTACTTGGGACAGCCCAGGGTTGCGACAGTATCAGATCAAGTAACAGGCCATCCAATCCAGAGAAGAGGGTTAAAGTTTGAGGATAGTAGCTCTGCCCAACAGAGAGGACGTGCTTTATAAAGGTCTTCAGTGGCAAAAAGAGCAAGGAACTACAACACTGGGCCTATAATAACCACACACATCAGACATCACCATCAAATGCAGCCAAAAGATGCCAGAGTGAAGCCAAGGCTATTTCTCCCCTTTCAAAGATTCAGGTAATAAAAAGCTTTTCCTCAGCAGGCTGGTTGTCTCCCCTCAACTCCACAAGGGCTTGGCTGAGAGAGGGGTCTGAACTAGTGTGAGTCAGATTATATCTCTTCAAACTAAGGAGCTTTCTTCAGCTTTAAGAATGTGATTCTTTTAGTTGCGATTATAGTTGCTTATTTTGCTTTTTAAATGACAGAGACCTGTCCTAATGTGTGTGATAAAAAGCAGCATAAATGTTGTAACACCCGACCATAAGGGAGTGTACTTCAGGAGGAAAGTGACAGGCAGGGGGTGTCTTATATAGTGTTTAATGAGTCTCCTTAGTAGAACTCTGTTAAAAAACAAAACAAAACAAAAAAAAACCCCTCCAACCCAGACAGGGTGCCTGTGATCCCAGCACTCAGGAGGCTGAGATAAGAGGATCACTGCAAGTTCAAGGCCAGACTGAGCAATATAGCAAGGCCCTGTCTCAAAGGTGAAAAAAAGAAAAAAAAAAAAAAAAGAGCTGTAACATGTGTGAGGTCCTGAATGTGATCCCCAGATACACAATAACTGCTTCACTGATATATCCCAGAGTTAAGATTGCTCAGTAAAACAGTTACAGTTGTACTACTTTTCTAATCTTATCTAACACATGACTAGAATCCCAGTACTTCACTGTAATTTACTAGTCCCACCAGTCTACTCAAGATTCACCTGAATAATCTACACATCAGCATTTCCATCTGAAATGTTTTTCCTTTCAGCTATCTAGGAACTATGTTTAGCTATAAGATTGATTCTAAAGCCACATCTTTCTCCAGATTTTCCATCATCATACAAAATGACATGTAAAATCAAAACATACAATTATACTCAGCAGAGAGCCTTTCTTAGGATATATTTGAACAAGCAGTCTTCCACCTTTATATGAGTACTATTCTTGCAAGAAGGAACATCACTCTGAACTGAATCAAAGGCTTTAAGTGTCAAGCAATATGATGGTAATAATAAATAAGTCTGACAAATAGATTTGTTACTATATTTATAGTCATTTTTGCAAAAATGTTCAATGGCAGTTCTCAATGATGAGGGACCCGCTGGCTTTACATAATGATCTGGGGCCCAAACAGCATTTAGTGGATAACAGGTACTAAGAAGATTTAATAACTTGGAAGAGAGTCTAGAACAATAAAAATTTATCTTATATCCTGCTCAATATTTTACTGGGAGGGGCCGGGGAGATGGCTCAGTGGAATAAGCACTTCCCTGGCAAGTGCAAGGGCCTGAGTTCAATCCCCGGTTCCGCCAAAAAAAAAAAAAAAAAAAAAAAAAAAAAAAAAAATTACTGGGAACAAGACAGAGTATCCCACAAGTTTAGAATGCCTTGTAAATTAAGACAGACTAAATTTTACTTCAAAATTTAAATATTTTCTATGCCTTCTACCAGTAATGTGCTCATATCTTTGAAAAAGTCCATTACTATGCCTTCTACTAGTAATGTGCTCATGATCTTTGAAAAAATCATTATGTAAACTGACATTTGATAATCACTTCGAGCTTACAATCTTAATTTTCTCACACTCAAACTGGCATTTACAGGAGACCTAAAAAAAGAAAAACAAACAACTAGGGATTAACAAAGATATCTGGGATGGGAAGATAGCTCAGCAGCAAAAGCTTCTCTCCTGCCTCACAAGCACAAAGTCCTGAGTTTGATTCCTGGTACCAAAACACCACCCCCTAAAAAACAACAACCCCCCTAAGATATTGTCTATTTTCTATTTCCAAAGACTTACAAACTATTCAAGAATGGTAGCAGACAAAAACAAAACCCCAGTCCCCAAATACTTTGGTTATGTCCATAATTACTTAGGAAAAAAATAGCTTCGTCTTCTGGTAGGCAATGCTAATGCAGACTACTTAGGATGGTGTCCAGGTTTTTAATTTGGGGAAGGAAGGTGTGTCCAAAGCTACTGAGGACAGAAGAGCCTAGTAACAGACTAAATGGAGAGGATTTAACACTAAACATTTGTTCATAAGATAGTTTTAAGAAACGCTTGTATAAATCAAATTCATTCACAGATATATGTAATAACTATCAATTATAGATAATATATATAATCATAATATGTAGCTTTTTCAAAGTAAAAAGATACTTAGACTTTTAATAACTCTTACTCATTAAGAGAAATACTATACTTTAAAACAGTCACAAAATTGGTCTTAATTCAAACACTTACTTTCCCCAGAATTGTTTCTGACACAGTACTACAGGACCAATTCACACTTCAAAACTTTCAGTAGTGAGAACTGGTTTCGCTCTTACTGGAGCTCATCAGCTGTAGGCAACTGGTCAAGGAACATTTTTTACTGGCCTTAAAGTCAAATATTATCCCTTTTGGATTTTGTTTCTTAATGAAAGAAACTACATTTCTATAAAATTATTTCCATGAAAAAGCCATGTAAGTTGAAGTATTGCTTTTTTTTTTTAATTTTTATTTATTTATTTATGTGTGTGTGGCCAGCTTAGCCCACCAGGGGGCGGGGCTGGCTGGCATGTGGTGCTGGGGGATTGAACCGCGGTCCCTTTGCTTTGCTAAGCTTGTTTTAAGTAGGTGCTTTAGACCACTGGGCCATCTCACCAGCCCCGAAGTATTGCTTTTAATAGTTTTTAGTTCCATTCCATTTTTCCTCTAGAACTACACAACCAGAAAATGTAGGTTTACTTAAAAAAAAAATTAATCAAATCTATACAGGTATTTGGTAACAGACTATCAAATAAACAAGACTCATACAAAGGTATCAAGTTAGAAATAATTCCCAAAGTGAATATTAATTCATTCACTAAATATGTATTAAGCATCTGTCTGTTGTGCACACACTTTGTTTTAGGTGGGAGCATCACAGTGGATAAAACAGACATTCCTCCTAGTACAGGTCAGTTGTGCAGTGGATGAATACCTAAGTACCATGCTAAATTTTATTCTTCATGTTTTGCTGCCAATAAACACTAAAACATTATAGGTCATAAAGCATATACTTTAACATTACAGTAATTCGAGATCTGACAGTGTTCCATCAGGGACTACACAGAAAAAAAGGTCCAGAGTTTTTAAGTCCAGGAAAAAAAAAAAAAATTGAATTAAACATAACATTTTATACAACAAACTACAAAGTTTAAATTATAAGCTGTATCATTCAAATCCCCCAAATAATACAACTACATACTTCTCAAATAATATTCACTAAAATAAGCAAATTTAGCCTGTGAGACCATTGCTGTTCTCCAAAATAATGATTTACTGTCCTCTGTAGGAAAAGCGTAAGCACATCAAGGGGATTTTTAATATGCTTCCCAGATACATTCTGAAAGTAGCATACACAAAAGAATAGCTATAATAGGATTGTTTTTGGGTTGTTTCGGTTTTTGTTTTTTTTAGGACAGGGCCTCACTATATAGTTCAGGCTGGTCTTGAACTCAGTTTATCTCAGGCTAGTCTCAAATTCATAGCAATCCTCCTGCCCCAGTCTCCAGGCTGCTCGTGTTACAGGCACGTGCCGCCACATCCAGCTTCTAAGAAGATTCTGATACGGCAATTAAAGTCAGAAGATACGCTTTACAGAACAAAAGGCAAATTGAGTTCTGCAGCTCACACCTGAAGCCTCAACACTTAGGGAAGCTGAGATAGGAGTATCATAAATTCAAGCCCAGCTTAGTAAGACTTTGTCCCAACACTTAAAAACATTTTTTTTTTAAAGGCTGGGAATGTAGGGATAAAAAGCTAGAAGCAAAAACCAAATTTTAAAAGCCACCTCATCTACTATAACCTGCTCAGAACCTCCAAATAGCTTATTTTTGTACTTTAAAAATCATTTTTGGATGAAGATTTTTAAAATAAAATACAATAAAAATGAACCTATAGAACACATTTCCTATGATGAAAGTACCTGACACCAAAATTTCTTTTTTTTTTCCATCAAAATTTCATATAAGGTTAATTTATACAAATCAAATTCAAATTTATTCAAATCAAATTATTATCTTTTAGAAGATAATAATTGAGCCATTTCAAAGAACTCTAGTTCTGCAAAAGGGAAGCAGTAACTTCTGAGTACAGTAGTCACATACTAAGCTTCGGGGTCAAATTTAACTTTAATTTACTGCATTTCCTTTGTGTGCAACAGGGCATTAAAAAAGTTGAAAAGTGTTGTACAACTCTTTGTAAAGTGTTATGGCAGGACGAAGTCCCTGTAGGGGTTGTCTAGCTTTGTACCCAAGACTCGGGCCAGGGTGAATTTCATTATATGTACATTATATTGCATACACATAGAGAGATGTTTTTCAAAAAGGCTCAGCATGGTGGATGCTGCTGGAACCTGTAACAGCTACTAACCCCTTTGATAAGACACAGGGGGAAAAAAAAAAAAAAAAATTAAGGGCTATCAAGAGCCCAGGAAAAGAGGGCCAGAATTCACATTATTAGGTTATATCATGTATGTCATATTATCATATATTTGGTATATTAGATCCATGCAATTTTATATACCTAATAAATTTTTAAAATATTATGACAGAAAATATAATATTTTAAATTGCAGCTATTTGTGAAGAACTCACTTGCACTTTAATGAACTTAACAAAATATTATAAGTACTTTCATTCAAATCTGGAAACTAAGAAGGGGATAAAATGGAAACAACTAAGTAAAATTTGCAAGTAAATTTGCTTCCTACTATGGCATTTTGGCTAATCTTTACAGTTTTAAGCCAGTTTTCACATGGGTTTGGTTAATCTGATGTCACAATTTCAGAAAAAGTTAAATTATTCATTAGCACTTACTATGTAATACTATAGAAGATGTTTTATGGACAGTCTTAATAGACAAATGCCTTCTGGTAGCTCCATTTTTTTGTTTACTATTTTTAGTTCAAGTAAGTTTTCAATCTCAATAGCTGAGAAAATTTGAAGTAGTATAAAAAACAAGATAAGAAAATGGTTTATAGATTTTTAAGTTATTTTTTATCTCATTGCTGTCCCTAAAATGAGTACTAAATGTAACATTCACAATATTATAAGCCTACTCATGTCTAGGAAACATTAAAAAGTTGGCTTTACTTAAAGGGATAAAAGAGCTGGGAGTCAAAGGGCATGCCTCTAATCCCAGTGCTTAAGGGCTGGCGCAGGGGGATCACTGTGAAGTTCAAGGCCGGCCAGAATAACACAGCTAGACCCTGTCTCAAAAACCCAGTCTCAAAAAAGTTTTATTAAAAGAAAAAGTCCATAATTTCAAGTGAAGGATTCTTTAAACTGTTAGGTGCCTCTAGGAAGCTAGGACACATTACTTACCATCTTACAAAGGAAAGAAGAGAACCAGCTTTCTAACTTTGTAAGTGTGGCTGCTTCCATGCTTCCATTTACCAGGTCTTCTCTAAAGAGCTTACTATACTGCGTTGTTTTATAAATGTCAGCATGTAACTATAAACACATGGTTTTAAAATGAATACATTAAATTAAAAAAGATTCTGAAATGCCAAAGACATCCTATGGAATCTGTTTAAAGAAATTTTAAGTGTACATGCAGTTAACTGAATTAGGTGAGATCTTAAAAAAATACATAACCCGTGCACCTTCTGGGAGATTGTTCACTAATCATATCTATGATACTATAAAATACGGAATTTTTAAGAGCTGGAGCAACTGCTTACGGAAAGTCTTTGGCTTAATCTGCAGCAGAGTTGGTGGCTGGCAGGCAAAATGTTTCAAGATACTATACAGCAACAGGTATTAAGTCTAAAGAGGGAGGATTTTAATAATACAAGATTTGTGAGCTACCCAGTATTTCATTGAAGTTCAGATAACATAAAAAGGGAGGACCCAATCATGACGGCTCTTTAGTCTGGGTAATGATGGATTACAAACTACAAAGTACGGAGCTGCGCAAGGAAGCGAGCACTGCGTGCACCGAGATAACTTGTTATATTATCAATGGCTCTTCGACCTTTATCTTTTCCACAAGATCAATACGGCAAACAATCATAATTGGGAACTAATGGGAAGGCCACACCCACAACTAACATACCTAAGCATTCATGGCAGATTAGATTTTCTTTTAATGACTACCAGCATCAGACGTCGTTCCACTGACTGCACATTTTCCTTAGAAAATCACTCAGCCTATCATTTTGGAAGAAATAAGAATACTGGGTGTCAAAGGAACATGACTCACACGCACAGAAAACTGCGAAGGATCTGGCCTCTTGCAACATATTTTTACTATACTCTTCTGATTCCCACAGGTAGCAAGACTATGAAGTCAAAGATACTGAGATACTTCGACTACAGGTCCCAGGCCTCCTAAAAAAATTAGGATGTGAACACGTGAAGTTGCTTAAATTGTTAACAGCGGAGCGATAATTCCCCAGGATTACTACTTGGGAACCATTCACATGTTTAATGGAGATACAAATTTGAAATTCCTTCCTTATAACTAAAGCTTATGAAATACCTCGATGTCCTGGTTACAAAAAAATAAATAAAATGGCAACAAAAACAGAACAGTACCTCTCCCGTCCACAACCCTACAGAATCATTTCCGAAGAACTTTAAAAAGCACGGTAATGGAAGTGTTTAAAAAGGAGATAAAGTCGCCACAGCACTAAACCCACAGGCGACGAGTGCATCAGAGATCCCGGGCAGGTGGAGCCGAGCAGCAATTCCCAGCCGCAGCCCGGGCGGGCGGCCTCACTCCGGTCGCTGAACTCCGCTCCGGAGGGAAAGCCTTCCCGCAGCCGGAGGCTCCGAGGGAGACCAAGGGGCTCGAGCCCCTCCCCCCGCGAGAGACCCCGAGGCGGCTCGCCCCGCCCCCGGCCGCCGGACTGCGCGAGAGGTCCACAGCCCCCGGCCGCCACGCCTGCCAGTCCGCCGCGGGGGCCCCTCGGGCACTCACCGCACTTCTCCAAGCCTCAGGCCGCACCCCAACGGGACCTCTGGCGCTCCGGCTCAAGGGTCAACTTTTTCATGGTGGGACCGCCAGACCACGAGTGGGCGGAAAAGACGGCGGTGGAGATAAGAGACAATTCCCCGACTCTCTCCACCGCCGCCGCTCGCCAAAACCCCCGCGGAGCTGACACATCAACAAAGATGGCGGCGGCGCCGAAGCCGGCCGGGCTACAGCTGAGGGGGCGGGGTTTCCTGAATGAACCAATCAGCGCGGCGTAGAAGGCGTGACGCAACGCACCTGGGTAACCTGTCCGCAGTGGGCGGGACCATCGCAGCCTGGCCTCGGGCCTCCCAGCGGCTAGGAGACTCCGCTTCGCGCTTCGCCTCGCTGGGTACCGCCGCCCTCGGGGACCTGGCGAGCCGGCTGTGCCCCCGGTCCAGTCCGACCGCTTACGCCTCTCCAGATCCGAGCAGTAGGTTTCTTTCAGCAGGAAGCGCCTACTGGATATTATCCTTCCTCACCCTTTGGCCCATCCTCTTATGAGTCAAGGGCATAAAACAATAAAAGAATTCGAAACTGGCTTCCCGGCAGTGGGGCGCAAAGGTTTCACCTGACGTGGGAGGGCGGAGTCGCAGGGGCAGCCAGCCTGCCGGTGCGTTCCACAGTTCATCTCTGCGGGAGTCCTCTGGGGGTTCTGAGACGCTCCGGAGCTGCAGCCGCTGCCCTTGGTTACTGATAAGCTGCGAGGGCTCGGCGACTCGAGGACCGCCAATGCCGCCTCCGCTGGGGCTCCCAGCACTCCCGGTGGCGCAGAAGGGTCCTCGGGGCACGTGCCGGCATCGGTCCGCAGCTCGAAGGCGGGGGCCTCTCTCTGCAGAGATCGCACATCCTGCAGCCCGAAACCGCGTTGTTTGGTTTGCATCCTCTCAGGCAGAGAGAGCTTCCGAGTGAAAATAGTTAACTTAGAGGAGTCAAAAGTTCCTAAGTTCCGTTCCGTTTTTTTACATACGAATTGCTGGGGAGTGGGAGAGGAGACACAATGCTGTCTAATTCTGTTCTTTTGTTTTCGCCAACAAAGATTGGCATCTCCCTCCTCAAGTGAAGATCCTGTATTAAAACACACTTTGAAATTAGGATGTTTGTGACAGTCAAGAAATGATTTGGCTTTAAAACTATATCAAACACATTCCTACTGAAGCATAAAGATAAACCACTTTCTTTTACTTTTAGTACTCATTTTACCAGTAATAAACATTTCCGAAATTTGTTTCTGAACTTATAAATGGTATTAAGCATATAAATGTCTTCGGGAACCTAATTTTTCACTAAAAAATATGAAACGAAAGAAATGAAGTAGAGGTACTACCATCTTGTATTTGAATTTAGAAATATCAGAATGAGCTCATGGTTCATTTTCATTTTTTAAATTAAGTTCAGGGCTGGGGGTGTAGCTAGGGGGTGGAGGGTGGGTAGAGGACTCGCCTAACTTGATTCCCCAGAATGGGGGGAGACAAGCAGTAAGTCTACCCATTAAAAAGGCCTACAAGGATGACAACCCAACGCACACACTACTCTCCAGACTATGATATCTATCATTCCACACTAAAAGTTGTCTGGACTGAAACATTAGGAGGTCTGATTGCAAGTTTGGAGCAAGAAATGTATGTCAGGTGTGGGCTTCCACATAATGGCTTCCTTCCTAAGTACTTAACTGCGAAAGGGAGGTAGCTGCAGTAGCCAATTCTAACAATCACTACCTCGGCAAGATCATCAGGCCCAACATCAGATTATAAATCATGTGTATAGGATGTTGTATGTTTGCCATACAACGAAAATGGGCCCTTTACTTCTTCCTTCCAGTGACCCATAACTCCATTCCTGCATTAGTGAGGCCTCAACAAATTTCAATAAGTGGCTCAGCCTCCCAAAGCTGACCAGTACTCCTGGAAACTGTCAGGTCACCAGAACAAGGAAAATCTGAGAAACTAACTTCCAGGAAGAGCCTAGGACATGCTAAGAAAATGGAATGTGGTACTTTGGATAGGATCCCATTTCAGAAAAGGGATGGGGTGGGGCCCTAAATAATTTCTGAGTGAATTTAACTTCAGATTCTATGACCAGCAAAAAAGAGTGGATTGATTTGGGAACCCCCAAAGACTTGTAAGTGGCTCAGGCAACTCAAATTAATTACTTTCACAGAGGCAAGGACTGAGTCCTTGCGTCCAAAACGTGCCCACAGTCGTCCTGGCCATCAGCCCTCTACAAGAAGCTGAGCAATTGGACAAAGCTGCTCGCAGGCCCCACACCCCAGCGGGGCGCACGCCGGATTAGCAGCCAGCTTCCGGGGACTCCCGGGGCGCACGTGGGCGCGCGAGAGCGCTGGTGGGCGCAGACTGCGCAGGCGCCACGCGCCATCTGGGAGGCCCAGCTGGGCATTTGGAGCGAGGCGAGAGCTTGGGAGGTTGCCTGGCCGCCGGGCTCTTGGCATTGGCCGCCGCCGCCACCACTAGCCTTCGGAGACAGGTCGCGGTCCGCTGTGCTTCCACCTCTCCCCAGGTCTGGGTTCCCGGGTGCCCCGGGGAGGAAGAGGCAGCCTGAAGGGCCCCCAGGCCTCGGGCGTTGGCTGCGGGCGTTGGGCACTGGACGTTGAGAGCGGGCGTTGAAGGTGGGCTGTGAACGCTTGGGAGGCCTGGAGTGGAGAAAGGACGGAGGGACAGGTCTAGGGTAGGAAGTGTTGAGTTGGGTGAGCTCCTTACTGGGGGGAAAGAGGCAGGAAGTGGGGGCTGCGCAAGCAGGGGCCCAGCTGTGGGTGTGGAAGTAGCGCTGCATGTTTGTGGATTCAGTGCCTTTGCTTAACTCAAAAGCTGGACTGCAAACAATAGGAACATCAAGCTTTTCCTCTTCGTACCACCTAAGGCAGGCGAGGAAGAGACATTGCTGAGCTCCCTTGGAGGTGGTGAGGCGCTTTTTTACCTGGGAAGCATTTGTAGCGTCTGGCCTGTGCCCGTTGCTTTTGAGTTGGCTTTTCGATGGCCCCTCCTATGATTGCCCTGTTGGGCCTCTGGAGTCTAGCAAGCGCGTGTAGTTCTTTTGGTGAGATCCCAGGGTACTGTAGACAGAGTTGCCCAGCCAGGAGTCTGACCTGGATTTCCTTCTCATCTGGGTAAGGTGCCCACCCGGGGGTGGGAGTGGGGGCGCTGGGGGCTCGCAAGTCCTTCAACTTCACAATTTCCCTCGTTCTGGGGAATAAAGATTGCAATACTTAAGTCATCTGCATTTTAAGTGTACAAACTAGTTCTTTAGAAGAGGGAAACTTTTTCTGTACTTGTGCGTGGGTGCAAAAGCAGAGGGCCGGAGATGTAGCTCAGGCGCAGAGTGCTGGGCAATAGAGTACTTCAGGCGTGCTGGAGGCCCTGGATTGAATCCCTGGTGCTGAGACGGAGAGCAGGGGCTGGAAGTACAAATAACCGCTTGTTGGTTTTTTGTTTTGGTTTATGCTGGAGATTGAATCAAGGCCTCACCCGTGCTAGGCAAGTGCTTTTTTGCTGAATGACATCCCCAGTCCTTTTTAAATTTTACTTTGAGATGAACTCTGACTAAATTGCCCAAACTGGTCTGTTCTAACTTGGCGGTACTCCTGCCTCCGCATCTGCAGGCACCCAGCTCCTGGTTTGGCAGTAGCTACCCGTAAGCACTTCAGCAGCCACTTCTGTGCTGGTGGGTTTGGTAGTCTCACAAAACCTTCATGTTTAAGATTTATTAGGAAATACTACTCGCCACATCATGCAGTCTCTGAATCCTAGAAAGATGAAAGGATTAGCTCAAGATGCTCTGCCAACTGAGGAAAGTGGGACTTGGCTCTGAGTTCAGAGTACGCTTGAGTGACACGTTGAGTTTGTAGTTTTAAAACACTGTAGAATGACTCTTCTTGAATGCATAGGGTTGGCAGGATGACAAAAACGAACTTTTTTTCAGTAATGGGGATCGAACCCAGGGCTTCCATCTGGAAATGTGGCCCTTGCCCCTTCCACCCTTTTTTTTCCCCCAGAACTGGGGATTGAACTCAGGCACTTGGCCAGGGAAGCGCTCATTCCACTGAGCCATCTCCCTGGCTCGTTAGCCTTTTCTGAAACAATGTTTTAGTAAGTGACTAGCCCCCCCCCCAAAAAAAAAAAAAAAGTAGTGCCTAGGCTAGGCTTGAACTTGTGACCCTGACCTCAGCTTCACGGAGTGTTGGGATTACAGGCTTGCAAAACTTCCAAACCAAAGCCAAACTGTGAAGAAGATAATCGATTATAGCTAAGTATCTCTGTAGATACTCTTGTTATTAAGATAATTAACTCACCTGGGGTTTGTTCTGTCCTCTAGGTTCTGGCCTGGAGAGAGTTTACTTCCAGTTAGGAGTGTATCCTAGAGTGCTCCCTGCGGGGGTGGGGGTGGGGAGTAGGAGGGGGACAGGAGAGGGAAATTCCAGGGAGTGAAAGAGGGTCTGCCCTTAGGGAGCCTCTGGGATGAAAGCAGGAAGTGCAGAGGCAAAGCTGAGACCTGCATTTAATTCTCACAGACATGGCAGCTGGAAGTTCGAAAGCTGTGGTTGAACTCAGGTGATGGTCTTCTTAGATAGCCTTATAATTACGCATTCAGGAGGTGGAGAGAACAGGAGCCGAAGCCTCAGGAAGAGGCAGTTTGAGCCTCTTACGTGCCTCATTTTTGTTAGTAGTCTGAAAAAAATTAGTGATTCCGGATCCTAAGAATATAAGGATCCTTTTAACAAAGAACTTTGGAAACCCTTCAAACCAGCTTCTTCTCTTAGGTAAGGAATTTTGAGATGGTAAAATACAGTATTATTAATCAGTGAATTTAAAAGAAAATCAGTGAATTTAAAAATATTGGATTGTGTATGAAAGAAATTGCTTGCTTTAAAACTGGCTTTAGCCTATGACCCTTGCAGCAATAACTGTCTTCCCTAGCCTTGTAGCTCTGTGTATAGATCTGAAGTCTGCAGCCTCAGGTTGGGAAGCTGTTATGGTTTGTGTCTAGTTGTCCCCCAAAGCCTCATGCAGTCATCGCTTACAGAGTTTGTGATTAACTCATGATCCACTGGGATTGTGGTGTGAGTACTGTGCCCAGCCTGGGGTGGATGGCTGGAATGCAGTTTAAGGGAGACAGACTTGCTCTCCGTAGCCATTGCTGTCGCTACTTCTCCATTTTGATCTTTCGCTCTTTGCTGCCGCCATGAAAGGTTGCTCTCTGCCCTCTGCCACTCTGCCTTGGAGCCAACTGAGTATGGACTGAAACCTCCAGTGACTGTGAGCTAAATGAACCTTTCCTTCCTTCATTTTCAGTGTTGGGTATTTGTCCCAGCAATGAGAGAAGAATAACTGAGATGTACACTATGTGGTTAACGTAGGATAATGTTAAGTATATAAACTGTACTGCAAAGTCTTACAGATATTTTTCACTGTTAAAATTCAAACTTAAAAGCCTCTTTGTGTCCTATT